AAACTATATTTACCTTTATTATAATATAAAAAATATTCAATTAGTACCTATTTATAGGATAAATAAACTTAAAGTAATTAGACAAGTTATATCAAACTTGAGCAAGGCAAGTAATTTACCCTAATAATAATATTAAAAAAAAAGATTACAGGAAACAATTTCAAGAAAATCATAGAGAGACACACACGCACACATAAATATATATATATATGTGAAAAGCGTATATATGTATATATCATATATGTATCAGGCTTTTTTCTTTTTTGTCCGGGTGTAATAGGTAGGAACAGATATGACAAGGAAATATGGAAAAAAACATTGATTGGGTAATGGTAAATTCAGCATAGTTAATTAGGGCGTAATCGGAGGAATGGATTAATTAAAAGACAATGATCACGTCAAAGTTAATGATGATTGAGATAACAGAGCGTAGATATATATATATATATATATAAAATATATATAATGATCAGATGAATTCAAATGAAAAAGGCCTTCAAAGAAAGACCAAGAATATATAGATATAGAGAGAGAGAGAGAGAGAGGAAATGGATGGCGTAAAGGAATTTAAAAGAAGAGAAGACAAGGAATGGCAGGAGATCATTAAAAGCAGCCCCTCACCACCCTGCAACTTGCATATCAACTTGCATAAAAACTGTCCTATTCAAATATCCTTCACCATACACACAACACAACTTGCTTCTTTTTTTTTTTTTTTCTCTTTCACATTTTCTATTCACATATATATATATATTATATATATATGTACTTTCATCACAACGTATACACACATATATAATATATGCAACTTGCAATTTCTTTTTTTTTAACAGCTACCAGCTAGTTGGGTTATGAAAAGTCAAGTTGCAGGGGAGGTGGGCAGCTAGCTGTTGGATTCTTCCAAAAACCCACCTAATTATATACACACACACACATATATATTTATTATATATACATATAGATATATGCAACATGCTTCTCTTCAGTTCTTCCCCCATGCAATTACCCTTTTCAGTATTCTTTTCACCGCTTCAGACTTTGAAATTTCCCTTTCTTTTTCTTCTCTTTTATTCTTCAACACTTCATCTAATTACATTTTACATTTTTAATTCTCAACTTTTCTTTTAAGTAATTAATCATTACAAAGATTTTTTTTTTTAAAAAAGGGAAAAATACGGATAATTTAATTTTGTACTGCAAAGTAGATTCATAATCATCAGCCACCATTAACATGAATCTTGCAACTGAATTTCCTTTTTTTTTTTTTTTTTTTTTTTTGAAATCAGATCTAAACAGAAACAAAAAAAGAAAAAGAAAAACAAAAAATGCTCATTTCTGACTGTATATATGCTTGTATACGTATATTATATTGATCCTGGGGTTACGTTTATGGCTGGCTATACATACATTGTACAAAATTATAAATTAACATTACAAAGAACACCTCCATAATTATGAGGACCACCTTTAAGTTTTCGGTGGTACAACTTTAGTTAATCCCTTCCCTCTAATATCATGCATGTACCTTCTCATCAATTACTACCATACATATATACATTTATATCTAATACTTAATATTTAACAACCAAATATTGTAAATTTTAAGCTATTTCTTCATATAATTTTATGCATAACGTAGTACTATAAATTTAAATAACAATATATATGTATTAATGAATTTTATGAATATAATTACAATTTATTTTCAAAATGGTTTATGAAAAATGGAAACTTAGAACGCTAATATTATGGATAATCTGGAAAAAGCTGATAAGTAATAATATATCAAATGGTAACGACCTCTCAGACAAGCCTAATTCTGGAACTCCATCATCAACCTCAAGCACTCCTCCTCCCGGTCTCAAGCACATTAATGGAACCAACATATATAGACTTATATAGTTGCATGTATAATAATATAACACAGAAATAAATTGAAAACTCAAAGTGAAATCGAAGCAACCAGCAACTTTTTGGATTCTCTGACCGGCATCAGGGACCGTACCACATCATCCCCCATTGTCAAAACATCTTTTTTTCTTAAGAAAAAAAGAAAAAAGAAATATAATAGGGAATAATTACATAAAATTTTACATAATTTAAAACCAAATCATCTGGAGCAAATACAACACAAAATGGTGGAAGCTAAGATGATTTTCTGTAATAATATTGCCATGTCGTTATTGATATTTCACATAGAAGATTTGGAGAGAAAAGAAGGGAAAAGTAAAAACCAGAACGATAGATTTATAGAACATGATCCGGGGAAAAGATATATTCCATTTTGGCAACCCACATCGTCATACTCACAAAAAAAACGACGGCGTATCACCAACGACATTGAACTTGGGGAAGAGAGAAACTGCCTTCGGGACCACTAAAGCTATTCAGGCGTTGCGTCTGGCCGAATTCTCGGCGATCTGAGCCAGCGACTGCAGGTTGCACCGAACAATTGTACCTACGAACACGCACGTGTCGTCCTTGGTGTTGCCATGAGGGATATCCACCACGTATGACTCCACTACCACCGTCCCGTTCCCCGCCGGTGACGGGTGGAGAGTTGTCACCGATCTATAGTTGGCCAGCCGATGATCTCCTCCCACCATGCTGAAGCTGATGACGTGTCTCTCGTCGTCCAGGATCTCAAGCCGCTCCATGCTGCATGCGGCCGGCAGACCAGAGATGACTCGAACTTCACGGAGTGTACCCACGTCGCCGTCACCTACGATGACGTGACAACTCTTGACAAAGTGCTTGTATGCCTGGGGATTATCAAACCGGCGCACCACGGACCAGACAGTGGAGACGGGGGCGGAGATCTGCTGGACAACAGCGGAGCAGCACTGGTTAGGACCGACGGCGTGGGTGTGGTGACGGGCGACGGCATCCGGCACCTGGGCGGCGCAGATGAGCGGGAGTCTCTTCTGGAAATCTCTTTGATATATCATATCGGAGTTTGTGGTGGCGATATTATTAGTGGCTGTCGTTGTGGTTGTACTGGGGATGCCGTTGATTCTGTGGAGTAAGAGAGATGATTTGGGAGGATTTGCAGGCATTTTCCCTTATCTATGCGGTTTGCTTTTCTGAGGGGTTTATGGTGACTTTTGTGTGTGTGTGTGTGTGTGTATATATATATCAGAGAGAGAGAGAGAGAGAGAGAGGGTAAGGAGATAAATAAGAGTTGTAGTTAGTCGCTTTCCAACTTTCAGAGGAGTTTACAGCGGTGATGTTTTTCTGCAGAGAAGGAAGAGAGAGGAGAAGGTTGGATTTTGTAAAGAAACAAAAAAGAAGGGTTTAATAGAAAAATAAAATAGAGCTACTTGGTTGAAGTCAAATTACCAAAATACCCATATTTTGAATTCTTTCCGACGACCAAAATTTAGAAAGTGGCAGAGTCGTAAATATTGGAAAGAGAAGAGGTGAGAAAAGGAAAAGTGGTAGAAAGAAATAAAAAGGCAAATGGGTGATCAAGTTGCAAGAGAGAGGCGTAAGCCGAACGATAAGATAAGCAGATTGATTTTGATCTGACCGTGCACTGCAGCAGGCAGCAGACTATATATCCTGCAGTAAACATGCTGCCATAAGACAAAATTTTCATATTTTTAGGTGGTGAAAAATATTATTTTAACTTAAATTATAAAAAAATTTAACACCGCCTCGTAGTTGTATTTGTATGGTGATCGAAATTGGAAGGGATAGATTACTCTTTGTTTCGGCTTTTTTGTTTTGATTTGAACGAGTCCAGTCCAGTCCAGTCCAGACCAGTCCAAAAACTAGTTGGACTTTCCCTCTTATAATTAAAATTTATTTTGTAAGAAAAAAGAGCAAGTTGGAGAGTTTGGGCACATGAGAGTCATGGAGGGTGGGGGACCCATCATACCTGGGATCAGGTGGGGGCATTGTTTGGTACGATTTCTTGACTTAGACATCCATCCATCCATCCATCCATCCATCCATCACAGTCCTCATCCTCTTGTTTTGATATATATATATATATATTTTTTTTAATTTTCAATTTCTTCATTTCATTTCTGTCTCTCCCCAGTTCTCTTATGTTCCCATCCACATTCATTCTTCTTAATTTTTTTATACGTACCCACTTGAATTTTAAAACATGCACAATAATGATGACGTTATAAATAAATAAATAAATAAATGTTATCTTCACTTCAAACGAGACTTATTCAAGGGATCTTGATGTGCATTCTCATAACCCCCCACTTGTTCTTTTTTAAGAAGAAAAAACAATGGGAGTTATTGAAAAAAGAAAATAGTAGATGGTCAAAAGATGAAATTTCAACGTGCATGCGAGGTAGGTTTTCTGTGAATATGATGGTACTTTTTTTTTTTTTTTTTTTGAAATTGTAGATTATCTCGAGGTTTCATTTTCAAAAAAGAGAAAGGAAAGACATGTCAATCATGTGAAAAATGCTGAGATTGACCAGAAAAACAACAGGAGGAAAGGCGTCTGCCACACTGCAACTTGCTTTTAGTTTTATTTTTCTAAACGATCTACTTTTTTTTACTTTTCGCCTGAATAATAATCTTCATTTTAATTTTTAATAAAATTAATTCTTGTATTTTTTTAAACACTTTTTTTTATTTAATCAATCCCCAATAATACAAATTAAAATTATTAATTTAGACATCACGTCATTAAATATTATATTATATTTAACATCATAATTATTTTAAATTATACCGCTTTAAATCTGATCCAAATGAAAAATAAAATATCTAATTTCCTCGTATCCTTAAAAACGCATCCCTTCCTTTTTTTGGCCCTTCTCACATGCTTCCCCTCATACGTTGCTTGTGCATCCTTCAAAAGGCATGAGCAAAAGGCCTCCTCCAACCAATTGAGCCAAAGGCGACATGACATATACACGCTACTATCCACCTTGCTCGCCTCATCATGTTACAAGACCTCGTCAATATTTTCATTCACATGATCACCACCAAGCCTTCTTTTTTTTTTTTTTTTTTGTAAAGCAACCACAACATGCTTAGTTTAGCCCATATTAGAGGATGTGGGCCTTCACCTAATGCCCCATTGTAACGCCTCATTTTTTTTTATTTAATGGTACAGTCTCAAACGGTCACAAAAAAAAAAAAAAAACTACAACAACTATTATTCAATATCAAATAGAAACCATCAAACGTAAATGAATCAATACAGTAGAGTACAAATTCATACATCATTGGTTTGCATACGATCTATATTACTGCCAACTATATCAGTTTTCCATTTCTACCGGCAATAATCCCTGCTGTGTTTTCTGTATATGCTAGGTTCGGAAACTAACAACTTCGATCCCAACTCCATTCCTACTTCATCTGTAAATAATAAATAATAAGTACATATAACTCAGTACAATAAATTTAAATCACAAGTATAACACACAAACCAAATTAAAACTCCATTTTATATGTTTTTCCTTCCCGTTACCTAAGTCATGCTTCCTTGCTACTCTTTAACTCTACAGTATTACTACGTCTCTCCAATAGTTAATCGTTGTTCATACTAGGTGTAATCACACCCCCCTGATATCACCCCCTCGGCACTGACTCAGCCACTCACCCACATGGTTACTCCCATCCGTCACTAGTATCGACAACCATTATTTACCCTTCTATCTCTCGACCCCTAACTAGCCACCCACACACACCAGTACTGTTTTTTGCCATCACCAACATCGGCGACTCAATACCCTACCCATCGGAAACACCCAAACATCACCACTATCGGTGATCGACTTACTCTTTTTAGGTAACGACAACCAATATCGGCGTCCCCTAGCTCAACCACCTCTAAGACAATTTCACCTCGTGCCTACTCAAGATGCCTCGTAGACTCGCATACTTAACCCCCACGATGGGTATTCCAACATAAACTATTCCTAAACCATCAACATTATCCTGAAACTCTCAAATTCCTTAACTTATTTATGGAACATACACATCACATCCCCATACAACACACACTCACACTTAGCACATGTACACAAATACACCTCTCCATCGAGTACTCACCCATACAATTCATAAATTTACAACATTTACACCAACATACATTCCCACACAACACACACCCACACACAACACATTTACACAAATACACCTCTACACCAACTACACACACACACAACCACTACAGGCCTACATTTGCTATTCCCTAATTTTCAAAATACTCATACTCCCCCCCTACATGCCAACACTCCCTGTTAGCAACCAATCCACTCTTCATCCCTCTCTTCACTTCTCCTTGTTTATCTCGGCTCCCCGTCATCTTCTCCCTAACACTACCACTCTCTCACAGTGCTCTACCTCTCCCTATCTTCCTCCTTCAGCTTCGCTCCTACTACCCTTCCATACTCATTCTACCTCTAACCACTCCCCTCTCAATACCTCTCTTGCCTCCTCTTTGTTTGCCTCGACTTCTAGCACTATTCATCCGTGAATGTTCTGTTCGTCCAAACTCACTCCAACTCACCTCACTTCCCTACGAACTCCCTTGCACCTTTCAATCACCGTATTCCTTCCTCTAGCAGTAACTCACTCACTCACCGAACTCACTGATCTCTCCTCCTGCGGCTTCCTCCGTTTCTCTCTACTCACAGCTCCAATCCACATTTCTGTCACTCACAGTCTCTTTCCACTCTCTTATTCCATCTATCCTAGTTTCCTACTCTATTTCCTTAGTTATTCATACATTTCTTCACCACCTACAGCCACAACTCCACATTTCATCCTCATCCTACCCTTGAAATTTAAATTTACTATACCTCTAGTCTCCATCTTTTCCGCGCTTCCGTAGCCCATACCGTCACTGTCTTCCTTCTCGTGCTATCTCTTTTAGTTCCTTCTCGCTCCAGCTTCTCTCTCTCTCTCTCGAATCTTCTCTTTTCGTTTCCTCCTCTCTGTTTTTTCCCTTTTTTCTTTCCTTCTTTTCCTCCCTTTTTCTTTTTTTTTCCTCCTATTTATATCCTCTCTACCTCTCATCCTGACCGTCTATCCTATCTCGTCCTAATCGTCCACTCCCTCTTCTCCAAACGACACCATTCCCTCTTTCTCTCCCCAAATATATAATTATGTTTATATATTATTATTAGTATTATTACCATATACATATATATATAAATACAATTTCCTTTTTTTTTTTAAATCCAAATATCAACTACTACATATTTTCCCCCTCAAAAAGAAATTTGGTCCATCAAATTTCGTTACCTTACCTCAAAGAGTTGCGGATAATTACTTCTCATCTCGTTCTCCCGTTCCCACATTACTTCCTCATCCGTGTGATGTCTCCATTGTATCTTCACCATAGGTATTATCCTATTTCTTAATTTCCTTTCTTGTCACTCAAGAATCTGAATCGATTCTTCCTCATAGGTCAAGTCCTTCTCCAATGGCAACGATTCATATTGTATAATATGGTTAGGATCCGGGTGATATTTTCGTAGCATGGATATGTGGAATACATTATGAACCCTACTATACCAAGGAGGAAGCGCTATCATGTACACAACCATACCCACATTCTTAAGGATTTCAAACGGCCCTATGAAGCATGGACTTAACTTTCATTTCTTCTCAAACCTTAACAAACCCTTCATTGGAGATACTTTCAAAAGCACATAATCCCCTACTTCAAAGCTCAAATCCTCTTGTGATTTTCTGTGTATCCCTTTTGCCTATTTTGGGCAGCTTGTAAATTATGTTGTATCACTGACACCTTAATCGCAGTTTCCTTCACCAATTTCGGTCCTAACAACTGCCTCTCTCCAACTTCCTCCCAGTCTATCCTCAGCATGGCCCAGTCCCTCTTCCACGGGACCCAGTTCCTCCCATGATTGACCCAAACTACATAGAGAGGTACAAGAAACTAAAATCATCTTCTTTTGCAGGGGGATCCTCTTTTGAAAATGCCGAGTACTGGTAAGCAGAGACAGAGAATGCCTTCAAGACCCTGAGAGTGACTCCCGAATAGAAAGTCACCCTTGCTACCTACATGTTAGTGGGAGAAGCAGACCGCTGGTGGAAACTCAAACAAACCACCCTGCCTGTTCCAGTTACTTAGAAATAATTCCTAGCAGTCTTTCATGTAGAGTACCTTCTAGAGCATCTTTAACATCTGAAGGAGATGGAGTTTGTACAGTTGGTCCAGTAGAACATGACTGTGTCAGAATATGCTCGTAAGTTCCTAGAACTGGGCCAATATACCCCTGAGACATTATTGGATGAAGGCAGGAAGGTTAGAAGG